TGGGACACGGAAAAAAAAAGAAACCAACACCTTTTGGTTCCTAGAATCTTGTTTGGTGACCTCTCTCCTCAGTCACTGCTAGAAAATGAGAGAGGAGGAGTTTCTTACAGAAGAGCCTCTGTGGAAACAGGACAACAGAGGAAATTAAAGGTCAGAGTCACATATGCTGGTGATCCAGAGCAACAACTAAACACAGAAGTTCAAGGAGCTTGCACATGGGGCAAGAGAACAAGATTCTCTTTCATTATGGCAATTAGCAAATGATTTCTCTCTTCACAAGTGGTAACCATCGAGTTTGCAGGACAAGCTGAAATGATTTTTCAAGTCTACCTAGGCTGAACCAGCACAAGGATGAGACAGGCAAGAGAAAATATCACCGACTGCTCAGGTAAAGTTGGTCTACTCCCACTCATGGGAAAGCTGTCATGGAAAGCCACTGGTAGGGAGAGTTTACAGTTGCACTTCACCCTTGCAGGCACACAGGGAAACATCAGATGCACTCCACCAGGTGTGAATCAAAGGCCTCAAGCACAAAACCCTAAACATAAAGATACCACAGCAAGCATTAGCAACCTCTGGAGAATCCTGGAATGCAAGCCCAGAGAGCTGATGAGGAGATTCCACTTCAAGCCCTCACAGCACTGTTTCTCAGATCCCCCACCACACTGTGCATTTTGTGTCTCTCTTGTTGCACCTTCCCACATTCAGTTTTTTTTCAGCTGTCTGCAGCCATGGAGAGAGGGAATAGTGATGTTTCAATCTTTGTGGGTCATGGCAACAGGACCCCCAGGCAAAGAGATTGAGAGGGGACACCCCTGGCCTTCAAAGAGCTGGTTTAGCCTTTTCTCAAGACTCCTCTGCTCAGTCATTTCGAAGACAGACGCTGAAATTGCGTCTCCTGAATGAAGTCACAGATGCAGTGGGAATAAACACGAAATCTGACATATTTACAGAAGATTCCAGGATTGTTTGATGGAGAATTCTGATCACTGGCTCGAGGTAATACCTACATTTTAACAATTCTGTTGCTTTTCCTGACACTGATAGAGAGATCAGTAACCTCAGAAGGCTTTCCAGTGAACATGGGCATGTAACAGCAGGATTTTTGTTTATCACTTCCACTATTCCTGGATTTTCAGTCCATGAGAAAACCCTGGGAATTTCTAGAAAGCAATTTAATATTTTGCGGCTTCAGATCTCTGACCCAGCCCTGGTTCAGACATGTGCCTTAACTCAAGAATGCCTATTCTGAGTCTCCCCTACTATAGCTGCTTCCTCAGCATCCTGGCAGGGTTCAGAGATCCATTCTTTAGTGCAAACAGCTTCCAGAGAAATGGATGTGTTTTTCCTCTTGGGGTGACTGGGATCTCTGTCTTTCACGAGTCAAGAAGGAGACTGAGGCCTGTCCTAGAGGTGTGTCCATGAATTTACAGCAGGGCCTGGTTTCACAATAATCTGTGTCACACGCTGATGAATCCAGTTTCTTTTAATGCTGAGTAAATTACAGCCCTTACTGGGACATTATGGGCCACCACAAAGCTTTTCACAGATGCCTCCTCTTCTTGAAATCACGACACACAACGCATTTCTCGTGCAAATGACATCTTGAAAGTAGGAAAAAAAAAACATTAATCAAACTTAGGAGTAATGGCCTCTCCATTTAATTGGAGTCATGGCCAGTGAATCAATTCAGTTTCCAACTGCAGTGCTTTGAGAAGCCTGTCAGTCTGATTCTCTTCTGCATTTTCAGTAGGCCAGAACCTACCACTTGTTCAAAAGATACGATTCCTGCTTGCCACATCAGCTGCACATCATCAGCTTTAAAGTAATTTGTTCAAAAGCCAGAATCCTGTGAGTGAAATCATTAGAGCTTGTCATTTATCTACTGTTTTCTGACAGATCATATCCAGCTTCATCCAGTTGCTCCCAAGAATTCCACGACAATTGGAATTGGGATTATTCTGCCAGTGAATAATCACATTGCTCTTTGCTTAAGCATTACCTGCACAGACTGGGCTCCTGACAACAATACAGCCACATGAAACAAAGGATTTCCTGCAAAATCACCAGTGGGGCAGAAAAACCCCCTCCCACAAACCAGAAGAACTTTTCTTTCTGAAGGGTTAAACTTGAAAAAACTCATCAGCCAATTTTAAGCCAACAAATCACAGATATACCAGTAAGGAATCTCAGGAAAACTGCCAGTCTCAAAAAAATCCAATAATTTCAAGCATGCTGTCCAGCAAAAGTAGTAAAAAACAATTCTAAGATCGAAGCAAGCTGAAAATTGAAGGTTTGAGGCAAAAAAAGGCTCTCACAGCGAGTAGTTGCCCAGTATCCAAATCAGAAGCCCAAACTGCCATCAAGGTAAGACACATCTCAAATACAACTCATATACAAATCAGCTCATTTGGGGAACTGGAAAAAAACAGTGGGACATTAAAAAAACCAACCAAACAAACTCACAAACCAACAGTCAGAAGGACTGGCCAGAGCAAGGAAAAACAATGGAAAAGGCAGCACTGAACACTCTCCAAAGGTCTGGGCTGACAGACTGTCCTGTCCTCATGCAGAAAGGTCATTTTCTGATGAAAGTGGTTAAACACACTAGTACCAAGGAAAGCACCTGAACAGCCACTCCAGCAGGCCACCATCTACAGGCACAACTGCACCACAATGCACGGGACACAAATTATTTTGCTGAAACATTCCACGAGGCACATTCCCACGCAATTGGTTTTGCCTTCTAAACTGATAACTTTTTTTTTTTTTTTCTAATTTCTCTCCTATTTTATTTTGCTTCAGCTAGTTTGGATTTTATCCTGTTCAAGTTTTGCCTCCTTCACATTCTGAGATCTAATAAAGCTAACAGGTGGACCCTGGATGGCTCTATTTCTTGGCAAGTTTTGTTTTTTTTTTAATGAATGAATTCAGGTCACGTTGCCTTTCATTTTCCCTGTTTTGGTTTTTGCTTTCTTAGAGAGAAAAGTCTGCCTTGACAACAAGCAAACAAACAAAAATAAGCAAATTTTATTGTTTTATTCCCCATAGCTGTGTTACCCTGCATCTACTTAAGGCAAAACTGCAACTGCAGCTTTCCAAGCCATTGTGCCCTGCAGGTCTCTCTTCTGTGAGGGCTCTCTACAACAAATATCAGTCTTCTCCCTCAAAGAGTGCACCAACTTAGGTCTCTACTCTGCCCAGGCACCAGTTCGCCCATGACTTGTAGGAATGTAATTTTTAGGACTTCTACCTTACATCTGATTAGAATTGAACAAGTTTGGAGGGCAGGGTGGGTTTCATAAATAAAGAGAGCAGCATCTTGTGGCTCATTACACACACCATATTCCTCCCTTCCCCCCAGGCATCCAGGTCCAGAACCAATCAGCAAACCTCACAGCTTTGCACCAGCAAAGCAAGCCTCTTTTCTGGTTTGTTTCCTTTAAGTGAATTATTTTGCAAAGTCTTAGTTTTTATCTAATTAAATAGAGGGCTCAACAGACTACACTGCCTCCTCATTCTGGGAAGCATTGAATTATTCAAACACTATGACCATATTTATCCTGCTGTAAGAAGTGGAAAAAACTAGAACTAACTGAGTTACAGTCCTGTTGTTCAAATAGGTCATAGGACTGACTAAAGTAGCCCTTGCCTTGAGAGGATGACAGGCAAATTCAAATCACAGAAATACTAAATTAGGTTATCAAGAAGGTATCTCAATTACGTACTTTTAGCACACATGAGTATTTATTAGCATTCTAAGCTTAGTGATATAATCTTACAGGTACTTTTTAGAGTGCCAAAGTACTTTTAAGGTATCAGCACTGTTAAAATAAAAATGAGTCATAATCACTGATCATGATTATTGATTATAATTATCACTGATAACTAAATACTGGTAGTATTTAGAATAAAATGAGGAAGCAGAAATTCCAGTGAGTGAATTACACTGGGAAGCAGGAAAATGCACGCATTAGTACCACATGTCAGCACAAACATTGCTTGGGATATCCCTCCGAAGGAAGTGATGAGGCCCTCATCACTCTGGAAATCTTTTCCAACTTGGCACAATTTGAAATGTGAATATATATATAGGAAACGCTTCAGGGAGCATTCCTGACTCCAGGGAACGCTCTGGTACTCCACACACGGATAAACAATTGAACAAACTCTGTCTTTAGTTGCCAGCTCAGGTAGAACCCTGGTGGAACAGCACACCCCACTGACCTCCAGCTCCACTGCAACCGAGAGTAAATTCAGTGTCAGCTGCACAACTCAGCTAGTCTCACTCCCTCCAGATGGTCTTGCACAAAATGGAAAACTGCACGTCCTGGCGAAGCCAGGGAACCCTCTTGGACATTTAAAGGTGTGGAGTACCCGAGGGAGCCTCTACAACCCCAACAGGTTATACAGTGCATCTTCCTCACGCAGCTCGCTTGGCTCAGGCTGTAGCCAAAATGTTTCCATCTAAACCAGAGCATGGGATGTGTGCATCTGCCAGGAAGAACATCACAACCAGAGTAATGCTTTCCTCGTCATTTAGAGCAGCAGGACAGGTGTCAAACAGCTATTATGGAACAATGCCCCTATCACTTATCCTTATGAAGTCAAATTCAGAATTCCTTGCTGGCTTGGGCTAGGACACGAACAAGGACTGCAAATTTGGCTCCAGCATCAGCACAGAAGCACCACTGTGCTGGTACAGACTCAGTGAGCAGAGAGCTGCTATACCTACAACCATAGAAAAGTTTGGGTAGGAAGGGACCCTAAAGATCATCCAGTTCCAACCCCCTGCCATGGGCAGGGACACCTTCCCCTAGACCAGGTTTACTTCAAGCCCCATCCAGCCTGTCCTTGGACACTTCCAGGGATGGGGCAGCCACAGCTTCTCTGGGCAACCTGTGCCAGGGCCCCACCACCCTCACAGGGAAGAATTTCTTCTGTGTTATCTAACCTAAATTTTCCCTCTTTCAGTTTAAAGCCATTCTCCCTCATCCTGTCACCGATGAAAAGTCCCTCTCCAGCTTCCCTGCAGCCCCTTCAGATACTGGAAGGTGCTGTGAGATCTCCACACAACCTTCTCTTCTCCAGGCTGATCAATCCCAACTCTCTCAGCCTGTCAAGTGACCCATTGTCACATTTTGCACTGATGGTCTGAGGCATTCACACGACCTTCCCTCAAGTGTTTGGGAGCATCCCAGCTCCACCAGCCACTGCTGTAGTGCTGGTCAGGGTCTCACCTGAGGCAGAGGAGAGCGGTGCAGGCTGTGCTCTGAGCAGGCTGGAGCAGTTCCCAGCTCCAGTGTTTCCTCCCAGCGCAGCAGATTGGTCACGAGCAACGTCAGGCAACGGAGGCACAGGCGGAGGAGGTGCCCTGGAGGCAGCAGAAAGGGTGTGAGGATGAACCAGAAGACAAGGCAGGGCATTATGACCAAATACACGCTGTTCTACCCTGCAATGGGCAGATCCCACATCACCAGCAGGTGGAAAAAGAAAGCAGTGGCTGACTTAGTTGTGCAAGGAATGCTGTCTTGACACTATTTGGGGAAGCAGCCCCAAGTCACCAGTGTAGGACAGGCAGCAGGGACAGTGCAGTGAAAGAAGTTAGGTGCTCTCCAACCTTTAACTTCATTTTTCCCCTTTGCATCCTGTTTTCTCGCTTCAGACTGCCATAAATACATCCCTGTGGAGACTGATTTCTTCCCTCACACATTCACTCACTACCCCTTGAAAGACCATCTATCCTCTCACATACTCCCTTCCCCACCCAGTAAATGTCCCCTGCTCGCCTATGAAAGGTGCTCCCTTGTATTTATTCAAAGAAGGCCATGACTTTGTAAGACTGATCTAAGCAAGCAGCACTTCCATCACCAACTGAAGATCCATGGAAATGGAAACCAATGGAGAGAAATGGGCTCCTGGCCATTGCTTTCACAAAAACATAAAATGAAGGGGTTGATCCACAGGGCTTTCTATCTCACCCCTTGTTCTCCACATGACTTCAGCCACAGCAACTTCAACAGATTTATTTCAAACCCTCTTTTAAGAGGTTCCACTACAATTTGGCAAGAAATCTGACGGGCTACCGAGATCCAACTCAACTGTCAGCTTTCCACTGTTTAAATGTAAAGGGGGGATGGCAAAGGAAAACACTGAATTCATTAGGTATCTGCTGTGGAAAGATGAGAAAGCAGAGTAGGTCCCTCACCCATAATCATCTGACAGAGGTGGCGATTTTGGAAGTTTTCTGCTGCCTTTCGCGTTCAGCTTCTCCGATTTCCGCCACTTTGCCCTGCGGTTCTGAAACCAGACCTGGTGAGTGGGAAAAGAAAGGATGCCTTCAGGAGGGAAAACATCTACACACGGGGGGACAAGGGCAATGAATCAGCAGTGACTGACTCCACACATCACCAGGTGTGCCCAGAAACCTTTCTTTGACAAAAGGGACCTCAAGAAACCTTTCTTCTGAAGAATCTGCACAATTCATTGCAAACAGAAAAATAACAGCAGAAAGGCACCCCCAAACACTGATTTCCTTTGTTGCCCACGATCTTCAGTACAAAAGAGATTAACTCTGATCTCCTCAGCCTCATTTATCTACCCATTATAGGGTTCATCTTGGGAAATGGGAAGATAGGGAATACGCAACCCCAGAATCCATGGCCATTTTGGGTGGGGTGGAGCAGTGCCCATCCCTGTGAGCCTTCCTCCTTGTCACCAGTGGCAGGTGGAGTCTCTACCCTGTTACTCATGGGTTTCCCCTCCCTGCCCCAGTCCCTGTCCATCCCTTTGCTGCACAGAACCCACTGTCCCCCACGCAGGCATTACCAGGATTCTCTGTGGTGTCACACCAACCACAGCTGCAATCTCCTTCCTCTTCTCGTTGTCGGGATAGTGGTCTTCCTGGAACACCTTCTCCAACTCTTCTAGCTGCTCTGGAAACGATGCATTGTTCAAAAAGAGACAGAGAGATAGGGAGCATGTGATAAACAAGAAAAGAAAAAAATAACAGAAGAGGGAAGCACAAAAAAAAACCAGAATATTTTTACTACACTTAGAAACACATGAACAACATAAAAGATTTTTTTTTAAAAAAAAAGGAAACCACAAAAATAAACAAAACTCTTCTTTCGCAGTAAAAACAAAGGGCATTGCTTGCTATGCCACATACGTCAGACACTTTATCTGAGCACCTTCATTTGAAGATCCTCACACACCTGATGGTGTGGAATGCAGTGAAGAGCCACTTAGGGCAGCTCAGCAGGGGGAAAGGAACACCAGTGCCCCTGGCACAGCGGGTGCCCCAGTACCTACCTGCATTGTAGAAGGTGCGGGACTTCTTCCTGACCGGGGGTAGGATGCGTGGGTTCTCAAGCAAGGCTTTTTTCTCCCTCTCCCCTTTTTTGTCCTCCTTGACTGCATCGTGGCTGCTTCTGGATTCCAAGACTGAGGGCGCCCTGTAGAACTGCTGGGCTGCAGGGCATTGGTGTGACCAGCAGGGAGCTGGGCCACCCTCGTCCTGCCCGCAGGGAGCTCCGGGGATTCCGCTCGGTGCTTCCTCGGTGCTTTTTCTCTTCTTTGCCTCCTTTTCAGCCCCATCGAGGTGGTGACTCTCACAGCGTTCACGGGACCCTGACTGACCTGTGGGCTCCCGTGCCAATCCAGCAACAGCAAGTGGGGACTTCATGTCCCTGCAGGAATCAGATGGCTGCCCACACACCGAGGCAGAATCCAGCTGGCTGCCCAGCACCACAGGGACTTGGGAAGCTGACCCAGCTGACTGCAGGGTGCTGTCTCTTCCATCTTCTTTCACTTTCTTTACAGGGCAAATCCTACCTTCTGTTCCTGAGGTATCCTTAGGTTTTTCCTGTTTAGCTGTGCTTTGGAATGCAGAGAGCACACTGCCCCCTGAGCCATGGCCACCGACAGCATCAGCATCCACCACCAAGTGCTCTGGGCACAGCAACGTGTCCTCCTCCTTTTCCTGGCACTCTGTAAGGAAAAAAATAGGAAAAAAAAACCCAAAACAAAAACCAACCCATACCCCACCCCACACGCACTGTGCCTGGACAGCATAAGGAAAAGGTATGCCTGGATCAGGAGTTTCAGTTATGGAAGAAGGAAAACGCCACACAAGGAAACCCAACAAGAACTGGGGAGCTCAAAATAAAAACTGTCTCCAGGACAGAGCCCACCAGGGAAGCAAGAGCAGAAAAACTGATATGGGCAACAGGGAGATATTCAAACCCCTGTGATGAGAAAAGGCTCATTCTGAAAGATGTCTGCAGAAACATTACCAACTGTAAACTACAGGGAGAGGTAATTCCAGGCACAGAGAAGAAAGGGAAGGTTGCATATTACAAATTACAGTAGTGGGAAAACAGCACTGGGGATTAGCAAAGGTCTCTGGAATAATGGACAGAACAAAAATTAATGACTTATGAAGAAAAAATGAAAGACAAAAGCAAAATTCTGGTCTACTGTGTCAACAGGGATTATCTGACAAATATCATCACTTTTTAATTTTTATGTGTTTCTGTCATACCGAAGCTGACCAAGCAAAAACCATTAATTATACAAACTTCCGAGTCTGTCATTTCTGCTAACTAAAACAAACAAACAAACAAATAAATAAATACTTAAGAATAGGAAGTAGAGGAATAAACCCAAACCCATGTGTCTGCCTCTGTCTGGAGAGGGGGAAGTTTGAGAAGCCTGTTGGCAGCATTTCAGTTGTATGTGCTTACAGAGAAACTTGGTAGTTTAATTTTGGGGAGGAAAAGGATCTAGAAGAATTCTCTTTCTAACATTTCACCCCGATTTGCTTTTGATATATATTAGTGCAATGCCAAAATAAGGGATTTGCTTTCTGCCTCAATGTTCCTTTCTGAAACAACTGTTAGTCAAGAAGGAGCCCCACAACATCAGTCAGATGGGAGAATCTTCATGGAAGTATGAGGGGATGCCAGGCTGCTCCAAGACCTTCTAATTTGCTTTTTACAGGATTAAGAGAACCGAATTAGTTGGAGGGAGAAAAAAACAGAAGCAGGAAACCATGCAACTATAATAATTTGATCTTGTTAAGCAACAACAGTTTCCACTGCTATTAAATGACATGAAATATTCTGATGGGGGAGGGTCAAGAAACGAGTGAGGCAGAGTCTGGCTCTGTTCTGTATAATTCCTTTTCCCACCACCCTCCTTATTGCCTCTTAGATCACCTCACTCATTCTGTGAAAAAACCCCAGTATTTTCATGTGTCCTCCATTCTGCCACTCACCCAACACCTCAAATCAACAATGGCATTTTCAGCTTAGTGCTTTGATTTAGGCAGGGGTTTTACTTGTTTCTGTGCAAACACCACAAAATAAACTTCCAAGTCTCGTGTAGGTACCTTCTACCTGTTTTATATTACCTACAGAACTGTTCTTCCAAGAGAAAAGTAAATCACTCTTATTTCTGAAACACAGAGCAAAGGCTTCACTACAACCTGGGATTCACAAGGAAGAGCTATAATAAAAATGGTTTGGAGAGAAAGAAAGGCCTTCATGGTAACAAAGAAGGACTCATCAAACCACTCCTTTCTCCCATGTGGCAAGAGACCAGACTGAGCATCACTTTGTCCCACTTTTAGGTAAAATATAACCTCAAGCAGAGGAGATTTTCACTTGACTGGGAACATCAGACGTGTTCAATCTGGAACACCTGAGCTGCTGAAGGTGCACGAGCAGGAAGCCAACACCCTCTTTTCCCTCTCACAACCACCTCCTTAGACACTTCTCAGAGCAAGCCAACCACTTGCACTGTGACAGCAAGACTTCTGGGGTTCTTTTGGGGGGCATTTGTTACAAAGCCACCTGACCGCACACACACGGAGAGATGTCAGGGGTCCACCTGCACAAGGAGGAGGAAAACCGTACAGAGGGGGGGAAAGGTACAACAAAGAAACCCACAGGCAGCGGTAGCTCCTCAGCACGACAAGAAGGGAAAAGCAGCAGCCCCCAACCCTTCGCCCAGGTGCTTTTACAAGCCAAGGCACAGGAGGGCCCAGCAGCCCTTCGCCCCCAAACCCCGCCGCGGAGCCCCAGACACCGGGATGCGTCCGTGCGGGGTCAGGACACCGTGGGGATGAAGGAGGCAGGGGGAATGTTGGCCGGAGCGCCCGGAGAACATCCCGGAGGAGCCACCATCCTCCCCCCAGCGCAGCTCATTAGGCTCATCGCCGGCTGCCTCCCTCCGGTCATTAACGCGAGTCGGCATTGCCCTTACCCATGCCCTCATAAGGACCCTTATAATAACCCTTAAATTAACCCTCATAACAACCCTTACCCGGCCCTCGGGCCGCCTGCGCTTTGTCCTGCCCCTCCGCGCCCGCCCCGTCCATCCCGGCTCGGCGCCGCTCCCGGCCCCACTCGGCCCGGCCCGGTTAATGCCCCGCCCGGGGCCAGTCCTGCCCCGGCCCCACCGGCTCATCAAGGACACCTGGGACAGCCCCCGCACCCGCAGGCAACGGGGGCAGCGTCCCCGGCTCCTCGTCGGGGATGCTGGTCCTGCACGGAGGGTACGGGAATGCTTCGGGCTCGGCTGAGGATACCTGGGAGGCTGCTTCCCGGGAAGAGCTGGTGGGAACACCGCCAACAGCCCGCCGTGGAAGCCTAGGGGTTGCAAAAAGTTGCTTGAACGAGGTGAACCTCGTTAATCTGCAGTGGCGTGTCCAGTTCTGGGCTCCTCGATGCGAGAAAGACGAGGAGCTGCTGGAGAGGGTCCAGCCGAGGCCACAAAGATGAAGAAGGGTCTGGAGCATCTCTTTGAGGAGAGGCTGTGAGAGCTGGGCTTGTTTCACCTAGAGAAGAGAATGCTGAGACAGGATCCCATTAATGCATATAAATATCTCCCAGGCAGGTGCCAAGGGGACGATGCCAGACTCCCTTCAGTTGTGCCCAGCGACAGGATGGGGAGCAACGGCCATGAACTAAAGCACAAAAAGCTCCACCTCATCATGAAGCACTGGAACAGCTGCCCAGGGAGGTCGTGGATCTCCCTCTCTGGAGACATTCCAAACCCACCTGCCATGCTACGCTGTCACCTGCTCCAGGTGACCCTGCACTGGCAGGGGGTTGGACTTGGATGATCTCTGGAGGTCCCTTCCAACTTCCTAATGACTCTCTCGTCCTGTAATCTTTTCCAGTGGGCTGGCAAGAGGACCTTCCTTTTTTAATGTGCTCTGGCTGTAGTTATTTAGCAGTGCTTCTGGTTCTCCATCAGCTGGGGGTTGCACTGTCTGCTGGCAGGAAGAATGAGCCTTGCTTAACTGCATTCTGGTGCACCGAAACAGAACATCCTTCATCCTCCTCATGGTTGCTGGCAGGGCACCTTTCTCCTAATGTGTGTTTCCCTAATACCTCCTGTCTTTGGTTTCAAGGTTCACTAGAGCTTGGAAGGTCCTGCTTCTACAGATGCTTTCACCTGAGGGTAGTTTCACTGTGTTAAAGGAGTGTAAGCTGAACCATGTGCCAGCATTTTGCAGACAGTCTAATCAGTCTAACTGGGCACCTGGTTCAGCCACCAGCTGCAAGACATGCTGGCTGCAATGTCATTGTGGCTAAAACGGCATTTAGTTTGCTAACAGCATTCAGCTGGCAAAAACACAACTCATCTCAGAAGGGATGGGACCTCTTCAATAATCAAGTGCAAATATAAAAATCCCTAACTGCTTTAGAGGTTCCTGTTTCTGAGCAAGGTTGTGTTTATTTACTGAACTCTGGTCCTAACGTCAGCTTTTTCTTGTGAAGGGAGTAAGAACTGTGGAGAATGCTTTCTTTTATTTTCCTGGAGGAAAGTCCAACAGAGGTCCTCAGGGCTGTGAGCCTTTTTTGTTTGTTTGTTTTTTGTTTTGTTTTTGTGAGCCACATATATCGATATATCTACTTTATACTTCTTTATATGAAAAATGGCAGGAGTAATAACATTTGATTTAAACAATGTAAACAATTACTTTCTCAGACTCTCAACAAAACTGTTTGGATGTAGTTTATATTTGTACTTCATTGCTGTTCTTGTCACAAAAATAAATTAGTGTGACTGCCCCCTGAGGTTTGGTGGTTTTTTTTCAGTATAGATATACTGAATTTCTTTTGTCTGGATACACTATGTATCAGTCTCCATAGGTTTCTGCAGAAGATACACTGGCACCTCTCACACAGTGTTCTATGCCCTGCCTTCTTTGTGGATCTTCCTAGGAAAGTGCTGGGACTTGTTTGACAAACCCTATGCTTCTGTTTTATACTAATTTTCTGGGAAATCAGGTTATCCACATCAGATAATGCAGGGAGAAATCCTGACTCATAAAGAAGGCTGTGATAGGACACAGCAGATGCTCTGTTGATTCCTGTGTCCTGAATGCACAGCTGGAAGGGGTGTTGTACCAGTTTGATTAAGTTTGTGCAAATCAAAGAGGTGTTAATCAGTTTCAAAAAGCATTTCAGTGCAGATATGGATTTTGGTGGCAGGATGGTGCTGGAGTTAAAAATTTAACTAAATAGTGAGGAGTTGAGGCCTCTCTGAAATGTAAGAAATCAAAGATAACCCAGGCACGAGCACTTAGCATAAGCTGACCTTTAAATGCTCCTAAACACACAGAGGCCTGACATCAGGAAATAAAGGCTGTGCCCGTGACATGAAGAAGTTAACCTTTGATTCAGCTGGTTAAACAGCACAGAAGAGCTATCAGTCGCAACAGCCTCAAGGTTTCCTATCTCAACACAAATTTTAACAGGAACATACAGAATTTAACATAGGTACCACCCTGGGAGGTTGTAAGGAACAATCTGCCTGTTTTTTTCAGAGCAGAAGTTGAAAGAGTAAAGAATTCTTGACTTTTAAAATACTGAATATATACATTCAGTAAATACTGCATTACTTACATTTGAGAGGAAAGCCTGAGTAACAAGGAAAGCAGAAAGGTTTTTTTTTTATTTTAACTGGAGAAGTGCATGAGTTTATTAAGACTAAAAGCAACTCTTTTTTTTTTGTTTGTTTTTAATCCAGCTAAAATTATTGATATAAATAGGCTGTAATGAGCTATACTAGATACAATGTAAGTGGGATTTAAAGGCAGGATGTTACAGAGACAGGAAGCTGGAAATATGAAGATAACTAATTCTTCAAATATATTAAATGCAAGAAGGCTACACGTTGCTTTCTTTGGTGTATTGATTCTTATCCTTGATCTTGCATTGACTGAGCTGAACGCAAACACTTTAACACAGAAACAGTATTTTACACTTGAAGGCATATCCTCAAATAGACAGGTTCTGCACAAACGCATGTAAACTGGACTTAAAACCAGAGAGTTCTAAAATAGAACAGAGACCCTGGCGCATATATTTTGGCTTTATCTACAGTGGCTAAATAATTCAGTGTTCTCCCTAAGTGTGCAAAATGGTGCATGCAATACCACATGAGTGATCAGAGCAAGAGCAGCAGGAAAGTGCCACTTCATTGCATGTGCCTTAGTCATGGTAAATGTGTACAGGGCGTGTACCAACACACGAGAAACATCTTTGTCAAAAGTCACCGATCTACTTTGAGTGGGAGGCAGAGTAAAAAAAATAAAAAAGCTCATTCCAGACGGCTTAATGGGATGCTTGTTCGTAAGAGAGGTGACCTTTGTGAAGCAGATTCTTCAGCATGATACCCCTTAGGGTGAGGGAAATCATCACAGTGGCTTCTGAAAACTTTGCTCCACTCCAGTGGATCTTCTCATGCTGTCAAGGACTCTTAACAGCACTCTGAGACCGAGTTAAATTTGGGTGCAGTGAAATAGTTGCCCATCTAAACCCCAGTAGACCTGCACGATCAAACACATAAATTGTTCTAAGTGGAAACTACGCTGTGGAGATCAACACCATGAAGAGTAGTATCAAGAGGCTGTTCAAATGGAAAACTCTCCTCAACTCTGTTTGTGCTTTGCACTTGGCACCTTCCCTTTCAGGAGCTCAGAGCTCTCAGTCTGCTAATACCAGTGAATTTAGCCTCACACCACGCAGTGAGGTAGGTGAGCTCCCCCCCCATTTCGCAGATGGGAAAACTGAAGGCAGAACTCTGAAGTGACTTGCATAAGGTCCCCACAACTTTTGTCAGTGGCAAAACCAGGAATATATTTTCAGAAGTCCAGATCCCAGACCTCTGTCCGCTTTTAAGTCCCTCCCTACTACCACAAAGCAAGCAATGCATGCAACCTCTTACTCCTCCTCCTGCTGCCATAGTCCTGCTGACACAGAGGAAGTGAGTGATTTTTTTTTCCTGATTGAATTCCCGCTTTCTTTGGCAAAAAAGCACCTGGTCCTGTCAAAGTGCTGTATTATGCTCTCTGCAGAGGCATTTCTTCTGAGGCACAATAGAAAAGGCATGGCTTCCCCCACGGCAGGGAGACTGTACAGGTCCAACCAGAGTCTTTATTTCTTGCAGAAGACCTGCTGCTTGGCATACTTCACACGCTGCTCCTCCTTCAGGTTCTTCTGCCGGACGTGTTTGCTGGAGATGTTCTCCACGTGTTCTGAGGGGAACCAGCCTCTCTCCCGGTCTGAAAGTTTTACCCCTTCCATCCATCCTGTGGCGTGGGGAGAAACACAACGTGAGGCGAAAGGACCACGGTTTTATTTCCATCCTTCCCCAAAAGCCCCCTCCAACAAGGCCCTAAGAGCAAAGGAGCAAAATAAAGCATCCTAATGAAGAGTCTCCTTGTCCTCTCAATCCAACACTTTGAGACAAGCCATTGGTCATTCTGCTCACCATCGTTGCTGTACTGCATAACCATGATGATATCTGCCTTCTCCAAAGCCAGCTCATCGTTTTCCCGAGCCTTGTAAGTCTTTATGCACTGAACCTGTGGTGCATCTAAAGGGGAGGAAACATCATATGTAGTGTAGGAGAAAGCAACAGTAAACTTGTGTGCATCAGGTATAGAGGTGGTGGGGAACAGGGAACTGCCCAAACACTAAATTTAGGGCCGAGAACTGGAAAGGGACAATCCAGGCCTTCATCTAATAGGAGGAGATAAAACAGGTAAAATAACTGGCACTGAGGGAAAACCCATGAGTATCTTCTTTATTTACAAAAACCCCTCGAGTATTGTGCCTTGGAATCGCTCTGGGATGTTCCACCTCCTCCGAGCCAGCCCACCCCCGTGGCTGGAGCAGCGGGGCAGACTCACCAGGGCATTCCAGCAGGTCCGGTTCTCCCCGCGGAGGAGCCAGAGCGGAGATCCACCTCAGCTTCTCACTGCTGCAAAACAGCACAGGATTCAGTGTGAGGGGCAGCAGAGTGCTGACTGACACGGGAGGGGGTGTTTGCTCACGACGGGGGTAGTCTGGGGAAGCAGAG